GGCCTCGGAGAGCTGAAGGCTGTTTTGTACCACATCGAGCTCAAAACCAGGCGCACGAGGCAGCATCAAGCCCGCTCGGCGAGTTGCGGTTGCTCTTCAAGAACGCGTGAAACAAGAGCTTGATAAAATGGAGCGTGACCTCGTCATTGCAAAGGTATCTGAACGTGCTGCCTGCGTAAGCCACATGGTCGTAGTGGTTAGTAATGACAAAGTGCGCATTTGTTTAGATCCTTCGGACTTAAACAAGGCCGTACTGAGGGAGCACTATCATTGCCGACATTAGAAGATGTAGTTCCACACCTGCATGGGGCAAAGTACTTTTCAACGCTAGATGCATTTTCAGGATTTTGGAAAATTAAGCTACACGAAGAAAGTTCATTAATATGTACCATGAGCACTCCCTACGGCTGCTACAAATTTCTGCGCACGCCCTTCGGGATCGCCTCGGCTCCAGAAGTCTTTCAGCGGGCAATGCACCAGGTAGTTGAAGGCCTGAGTGGTGTCGCCGTTGTAATGGATGACATTCTCGTATGGGGAAACTGTCGAGAAGAGCATGACAAAAATCTAGCACCTTTGTTCGCAAGCTGCAGAGAGCACAACCTAAAAATGAATAAAAAAAGCGTCATTTTTTGCAGCCGCAAGTTCGATACATGGGTTATATCCTCACGCAAGAAGGACTTTGCCTGGATCCCGGGAGAGTAGACGACATCTCGCAAGTGCCACCACCACAAAACTGTAAGGAACTGCAGGTTTTTCTCGGGATGGTGAACTTTGTGGCGCGTTTCATCCCCAACATGTCTTCACTATCTGCACCTCTTCGGGAGCTATTGAAGAAGAACACGGCCTGGGTCTGGACCCAAGAGACCCAAGAAAGCTTCAATACACTTCACGCTTGCCTAACAAAAGCACCTGTTCTCGCCTATTCTGCGAAAGGTGTTCCTTTTACGTTGTCCAGGGGTGCAAGCCAGAAAGGGGTAGGGGCAGTTATTTTGCAAAATGGACACCCAATCGCCTACTCATCGCGTTCGCTTACCGAAGCACCAAAGAAATATGCCCAGATCGAGAAAGATCTGCTAGCCATTGTTCACGGGTGCGCAAGGTTTGAAGACTACATCCTAGGGCAGCCAGAGGTAATCGTCTAATCCGATCACCGCCCTCTAGAGTCAATAATTAGGAAACCAGTATGTGAGTGCCCGTTACGATTGCAGCGTATGAGACTCTCCCTTCAGAGGTTTCCTATAAAAGAGATTTACAAACCAGGAAAAGAACTGTTCCTAGTGGATGCACTCTCGCGTTTTCCTAACCAGAAAGAGCTGAAAGAAGAATCACTGGATTATCATGTGCACGCTCTTTCTTCTCTTCCAGTCTCTGTTCGGCAACTGCAGGAAATCCGGAAAGAAGTACTCAAGGATGCAACAATGACTGAACTGTGCAGCTATTCAAGCACAGAATGACCTGAGAGCGAGCTTGAGGTGTCTGAAACCACATGGGCGTATTGGACCTATCGCGACGAACTTCACGTCGAAGAAGGCGTTCTCCTAAGAAGCAACAAGTTGGTCATTCCACCGACAAAAAGGCAAGAATTACTTTGTTTGCTTCACGCGGCACACGGGGGTGAAGAAAAGATGAAGGCAAGAGCCAAATCGGTTATGTACTGGCCGGGAATGTCGGCGGATATTGCAGCTCTAGCGAAGGCGTGTCAACTTTGTCAAAAGTACAAGAGCAGGAACGTCAAACTACCAATGCTTAGTCCCGATATACCTACTTTGCCGTGGCAAGTACTCGGAATCGACCTTTTCTACCACGAAGGCGATGAGTACCTCGTTGTGATAGATTTCTATTCTTTTTTTTTCGAGATCAAGCAGATTCATTGAACTACGGCAGAAGCAGTGACAAACGTGTGCATGCAAATCTTCGCCACGCACGGCATACCAGCAAAGATATGCAGCGATAATGGTCCCCTGTTCAATAGCGCGTGTTTCCGTATTTTTTCAAAGCAGCTGGGCATCACCCACGTGACTTCCAGTCCGCATTACCCCAGCGGTAACGGCATGGCTGAAAGGGCCGTCCAAGAAGCAAAGAAACTACTGAAGAACTGCCGGTTTGGAACACTGGAGTTCTACAGCGGCCTGCTTGAATGGAAAAACATGCCAAGGCATGACTGCCTAAAGTCACCTGTCCAACGGCTCATGGGTCGACAGACGAGGACCAAGCTGCCCATATTACAGTGCCACCTAGAACCCCAAACCGTGCCGACCGAAGTTGTTCGAAAGCGACTCCGCGAAATACGGCGAAAACAACGCGTCTTCTACAACAGATCAACGCGGAATCTACCGGAAGTGCACAGTGGGTCCACAGTATCGGTTTACGATACAACAAACAAGACTGGGTGCGAAGCAGTCGTCATGGGCCCGGCAAGTACACCACGCTCTTATATTGTTGCTACTGAGAATGGCCAGCATCTACGACGCACGATAGAACACCTCAGGTCAACAAACGGCAGGTTTTCTCACAGCAGCCAGAAAGCGCGACAGCGACCGCGCGTTCCAGCCAGCAGCAGTGCACCACCGAGCAGCAAGTACCTCAAAAAGCGCTCCGTCGAAGCACAAGACTGCGAAGATCGCCACAACGCTATCCTCTCCTAGAGCGCCTAACAGAAACTGTTCCGCGGATGTAGTGCAAATTTAACTTTGGATTGTTTCTTCAATGTGCCTTCGTTTAGACATTTTGTGTTCTGCTTCTTTTTTTTCCAATGGAAGGAGGATGTGACCAGGTGCAACGTCATCAAGCATTGCATGACTACGCATGCGCAAGCCTGCCCTGCCTCTGTACAAATACACCGGCATCGTGCAATAAAGCGCTTTTTCGTTTCCTGCTGCACGTCTGTCCACAGTTCGAATCATGGTACCTGGAATAAGTCAGTTGTGGCTGTTAGTATGGAGCAGGGCTGACGTAGAATGACTTTCGGCACATACAGGCTGGATGCCTGTATTCGCCAGTTCTTCGCGCATGGCGGCCTGAATTAATGACACTGTCGGGCGGGCCTCCTCGTGAGAATTAGCCTGGGAGCAGATGGAGTTGCTGCCTCGATCTTACACCACACGAGACGCAGGAAGTTTTCGGAACAGGGCGGCGGCTGGATCTAGACGTCTTTGCACGACGACGTGGCAGCAGTGTTAGGGAGCTGAACAAATTGCTGCGTAACATGTCGGCTTTTTGCTTCTTTGAAACATCAGCACTCCCTGATAATGTCGTAAATGGTGGAGCAGTCTTTGTACACGAGCAAATGAAGGGCGTCGTGAGCGATGCCTTCATTAATGTGGGTGACTTTGTTGGCTCCGGCCATTTGGCTATCAACTTGCCGACACAAGGCTTAGACATCTTGTATGTAAACCATGTGCAGCTCCTTTGAGGTTTGGGCACGGCACGAGAGTTCTTTCTCTTGGCGTGCAATGGGCTTTCCAAAAGGTTGTTTCATTTTTGTTTACATACGTCTTTTTTTGTTACGTACTTTTACATTCTCTTCGTGTGTGTCGAACCACACACTGGCCCTACCCCTGAGGTAGTACCCGACGTTTGCAAGCATCAAAGTCGAATCCCAGCGATTGGTCTTGCTGCTGCACTCTTAGTTGGCCAGCCACTTCTCCACGTGACCGTTATCAGTCCCGCAGAAGGTGCCTGGGTCTCGGAGGTGGATCACGACAACGTGACTGGGTGCATTCGGCATAGCGGGGGCTGGATCAGCAGAATTGTCTGCCGGCATAATGGACTGTCCAAGAATACGCCCACTGCGAAGTTCCGTTGTGTGCTCCTGATGTGCCCAGAACCTTCACCAAAGATGTTACGGAGAGATGACAGAAAACGAGTGTATTTACAGTATTCACAGTAACAAAACTGCGGGTAAAAACAACCACGATGGCCAGGACAAGCACCATCTAGTCTTCTCACTTCTTCGGTTTCTAGGTAAGCGGCACATAAAAATACTGTCAGTGTCGTGGTTTTGGGACATTAACCCCCGCCCCTCAAAAAAAACGCAATTGAAGACCTCATAACTCCTGACGGTAAGGCGAAACAAAAGTCACTCATGGTGGAATGGCAAAATGTTACTGCACAACATTGATGAGTATCTGATTGTGACTTGTAAGGGCCACACCTGGTGGATCCAAGGGACTAGTGGGATTAGTGGGCACCATTGTTTAACATCAGCTGTGACAAGACTGCATGCATGATACCGAAGTGGTAGTGCAGAGCCAAATGCTTCTGCCTGTGGCTAAGGTGACCAATTGTAAGGTTATGATATTACAGCTAATGCGAGGAGTCGTTCTCGCTTTGGTTCAATCAAAGATGAAGCATTAAGTGCAGCGGTGGCGATGAGCTGCTCCTTCGCTTAGATTTAGGTGCACTTTAAAGAATCCCACATGGCCTAATTTGATCCGAAGTCGCCCACTGTGGGCCCTGTTGCGGTGGTCTAGTGGCTAAAATACTTGGCTGCTGACCCGGAGGCCGTGGGATTGAATCCCGGCTGTGGTGAGTACATTTCCGATGGAGGCGGAAACGGTGTAGGCCGGTGTACCCAGATTTGAGAGCCCGGTAAAGAACCCCAGGTGGTAGAAATTTCCGGAGCCTTCCACTACGGCGTCTTTCATAATCATATGGTGGTTCTGGGACGTTAAACCCCATGTATCATCAGTCGCCCACTGCGGTGTGCTTCACAATCATATCATTGGTTTGCCACATAAAACGCTAGAAATTATGTTTGAAACTAAGTTGGCTCTGTGCCTAAAACTGTCGTTTGCCCAGTTGGTGGGAGGCAGCTGCCATTCAGTGCAGCCTTGCACCAGGCACATTTTTCTCTATGCTGTGGCTCAAATAATGGGGTCTCTTCTTTGCTCTTTTGGCAGCTGGCTCAACTGCTTGGCGCCCTGTAGGGACCCTCTTGGACCCCCTTGTAAGCCCTGGCCTACGCCTAGCAGTGCTGGTCGGTTGCTCCCTTATGTGAAGGGCCCGGTGACGTCTTGCTGCAGCGGTAGCCTTGAGTGCCAGCATCAGTCCTGTCCCATCGCTGCTGTTCTGAACACGAGCAAGCTCCTCTCCAAGGCCCTTCACGATATCAAGGTAAGCTGGATTGTGTGCATTCATAGAATGCACATGCCGCAACTGGACCTCTAGGAACTCATGTGCATGTTCTTGGGACTGCACCAAAAGTGATGAAAGAAATATACTTCTTTGCTCCTCTCACACTGCAGACAACTGCTCGAGAATGAAGTTCAAGCTGAAGAGTCAGTTTAAGTCAAGTTTTTCCTGTCACCTGTTTTGACAATTCTGCTACTGGAAGTGCTGCTAATACCAACAATTGGTGACCTGTAGTCCCAAACATGGAACAGTACGACACCGGTAGTGTTGAAATCTTGAAATCGCCCTCGGAATGATGACATCTACCAATATGAAATTGTAAATTCGTTAGTGCGGGAGAGCACAATAATAAGCTTACAGGAATTAAAGAAGCCTTGACTTCTGTTCAGTAGCATTCCTTATGTTTAATTAAAAAATATTTCAGGGCTCTCTCAAGGGGCTTGTCCTACCTGGGCAAGTTGGGCTGCATCAGGCACCGACGGTACAGGTGCGACGTCTGTGGCCTCTTGCATGCTGGTGCCTTGCATTGGTTGGAGTTCGTCTGGCTTCTCCTGCTGGGCACTGGTACCTTCCGTGGTTCAGGCACTACTGCTGGGCTTCTCTTCTTGGAAGGGTTCGAAAAATATCCTGGGGGGACACTTCTCGCCCAGGGACAGCTGTCCCAGTTGGTAGTGGTCGTCACTACTCAATGCCGGACCATTTGGAAACAGTCCTCCGTACTTTTCCTGCACCAAAGCCTGGTGCTTACGAAATGCACCTTGTTTACCAAAGAGACACGTGCATAATCCTATGTGGGCATAGACTTCATAACTGGAGCTGGTGTGGGTGGCACTAGGCACAATGTACTCTCCCTGGCCTACCACTTGGAAGGCCTCGGCTGCGTTTTTTGCTATTCGCCACAGCAGCCGCTTGTACAGCAGTTGATGGGCTGCAACATGGCTGTAGGCGTGGCGGAGGATACGGCTTTCAAAGTATTTCTCCCACACCAGAGCCACCGAGTCTACGAGTGCGACTGCGTTAAATGCTTCGACTCTGTTCAGTATAATGTCTTTGAGCACGTGTATGGTTGCCTCCGCAAAATTGTTGGTGTTGTGGCCCCTTGTCAACATGTCCAAACGGTAGAGCTGCACCCACACTTCTTGTCGGCGCAAGAATGTCAGAACTCTACACACGAAGGCCTCGTGTTGTAGGGCCTTCAGTGCGGCAGTGGCAGCTTCAAGTTTTCTGCTGTGTCTGCATACATGACCTACAGATAGCAGGAAATTTTTTAGTGAGGTGCTCGTATTTGCATATTTTCACTTTTTTTAAACTGCACCATAACGCAGATTCATTAGCCTGCTTCACTGTCTGCATTGAAGTCACTTTGTGATCTGCACATGCTTGCCCCAGTTCAAAAGACCAGTAAACAACCCTCAAGGATCAAAAATAAGAAATATGTGCACCTCTGCTCCGTGAACATACTGCCTCACGGATTTTGCGAATGCTTTGTTAAGGAATTCACAGGGGTTAGAATATTGGTTTCAGCTAGTTTCAAATTTTCGCGTAGTCTCGCCACCCTTCTCTATCAAAGGGAGGAAAAAGCGTAGCCTGCCGCCGTGACTGGTTTAACCCAATCGAGGAGCTGCGTGCTTGGTCAAGTCGCCGATCGGCGAATTTGTGTCACTGCGCATGAAAGGAGGAGTGGTCAGGTGTAGGAAAGGAGCGCGGGGATTGTTTTTCGAAATAGATGCTGTGCACGGTGCGCAGCGCTGTAATCTGGAAATTGATTTCCGCGGTCTGCTCTACGAATCGCCAAGCGGTGGTCTATAAAAGTTGATGCTGCTGACATTTTCTGTACGCCTGTGCGAATAGGGAATTTTAGGTTCGAAGTGAATTCGAAGCGAATAGTAATTTTTGTCGAATAATTTCTAATTGAATTTTAATAGTATATATATTGCATACTATAAACAAAAAGGGGCATATTTGTCATGACCAAACAAACTTGCACAGATCTTTAAAAATTGAAACAGGGCCTATGCAAAGGCCATTTTTTTATCAAAGGAAATGGCAACAACTTTGAATTGTAGCAGCATTCGACTTTTGGTACAGTCCAAGTAATAGCCAGTAAAATATGCTGCGTTTGAACGTTTTTCTACTTAGAGCATATAAGTCTGTGTAACGAGCTTTTCATCTGAAAACAAAAAAAGCAGAATCGATGTCAGGGTAATTCTTTATTAAAACCTTGAAGTGGGGCTTTGCTGCAGTGCGAATTTCTCTTGATTACGTGTTTTGACTGCTTAGCATCAATTTACTGCAGTGAAACCACTTTTACATATTGTCTAATATGCTTGGGTAAGTGCTTTCATGGTTTAGCGTCCCTCCACTGCCGTGAAACAACCTTTACAAAGTGTTACATGTGGACTAATATGCACCTATTTGTTCGTTTTGAATAATTCAAAATTTTCAACAATTCAACTTTGATTCAAAGCAAATTTGATTACTGCATTATTCGTTTGAATATTCGAAGCATTTGAATATTTGTACAAGCCAAATTTCATGGCATTTGAAATCATTTGAACTGTGAATAAAATGGACACAAATGCTGCCAGCGTTGTCATCTGCAGATTAGGGCATCTTGTGCGGCATACACTTCAAATTATATCACGAGGAAGTGAAGGTAATTCATGAACTAGCCTTGCGTGACAGCTGTGCTTTTTATACACCTATGCTGCAATGCCAGCGCCATCTTGTTGGAAACACGAAACGAATGCCAGAATAGCAGACCATTGTGAATTTGTTCACTAAGTGCAGATGCAACAAATGCACCTCGTATCTTATAGCTAGAGTTACAACTAGATTACAAAAAACTTGCCAGCTGGAAGGCAGACATGAATCGTCTCCTCTGGTCTTTGTCGACAGAGTTGTAAGATGTCGTCAGCCAGCGCCACTCCGCTTGTGCCACATGAAAATAGCACAAAAGCTGCATTGCTGACGGCCATGTCTGCCGCAGGGCGGCCTTCTCAGCACTTGAATTGTCACTCATGAGTACCTGTGGGGTTTGGCAGACAATGCAATAAAGTTTAAAGCTGTCCACAGTTGTAAAGGCATAGACAAGTCGTGGATGTTGTGAGAAAAATTTCGTGGGTGAAGCTATAAATATAAATAGCCTTGGCTGATAATTTTCTATTGAATTTGAGTTCGCCATATGCTTTTTAATAAATTATAGAGAGCAGTAACATTTATGGTAAGTTTCAAGGTTAAAGACAAGTGTAAGTTTGCATCTGTTGCCAGTATTTTAAAAAGAGGAGAGAGTGTGGGCAATAGGTCGACGACCTCACTCATTGGCCAACTCACATGGACTCACTCAGACTCACATTATGAGTCTGAGTCTGGATAAGCAATATTTTTGTGAGTCGAAGTCCGAGATAGTTTGTTTGAAGAAAATTTGAGGGAGTTTGAGTCTGAGCGGGTTTGGCTAAGCAAAATTTTGGAGAGTCTGAGTCCGAGTGAGTCTAAAGCGCAAAATATGTTCTTGAGCGGGTTCCACTTTCTTTTGCCGACTTTACGTTCCACCTAGACATTTTCAGCATTACTCATCCTTACCTAGATTCACTTTTATACTCACATCTATTCAGAGGTATTCCAAAGTAGTGTTGTTCATACACCGTTTCAATATTTATTATTTAGATGTGTGAATTATACAAGGGGGCGCCTTGGCACTTCTAAACTAAGTCTTCCAGGGAACTTTTTGACTATTATATCTTATCATCTCCTTCAAGAAAAATGACGTTACTGGTTTGGAAGCACTCGGAACTCGTTTTCGAAGATGCTGTGTGAAGCGGCACTAAGAAGAGCACCGATTACATCAGATATTGTTGTTAAAGAGCATTAACACCACAATCAAAGAAGCTAATTTAGGCTGATGAACTCATGAGTTGACTCAGTAGTACTCACTCAGACTCAGCTCCAGCTGTGAGTCTGAGGCTGAGTGTGTGCGGTTGAGTAATGTTTTGGTGAGTTTGAGTCTGAGTGAGTCCGGCTTAAGAACCTGTATGGGCCTGTACAAAGGCTTACAGTATTGTTAAATAAATATGTGTGAACGAGAGTTTGAGTGAGTTCAGCTAGGAAAACTGTTTGTGAGTCTGAGTACAATGAGTCAAAAGTTCAAAATACAAGGTCCATCTGATTTACCTGCACCAATTGAAACCGGTTCACGGCTGTGCATGCAAAGTTCAGAAATGGTGAAGCGCAAGTTCAGTGGTGCAGGCACAGTGCAACACCCAAACCGAATGACGATGTGCTGATGCAGGCCTTATTTCTGTTCGCTTAGTTAACACCGTTAAGCTAACACTGACTGATGGCGAAAAGAGTATGCATACAGTTTATGAGGCACAAACTTCTTTGCGAAAAACACACCGTGTTAGTGGAGGCAGGTACGGTGCCTACACCAAAGTGTTGCGTCGTCTGCTCAGCTGCACGCGCGGCTGCACCAAGCCGGCACTATCAGTGTGGGAGGGGCGGGAAAATCGTGAACCAGTGCTGTACCTCTTCTGCACTTTTAGAACTAAATGGAAAGGTTCAGAGGTCGTCAATGCTGCACCGCTGAAACAAATGGCAAGGCGCAGAACATCGTGAACTGGTTCACGTGGTGCAGGCAAATTGAACAGGCTGATATATTTTATGAATGAGCCTGAGTGAGTTCCACAAGTTATGCCAATCTATGGTGTGGGCACATGTTTTAGCTGGAGAAACGCTTATCTAGCCTGAGTGAAATGCACAGAACAGGCGCACTTCACCGACAATGATGATGTCACATGGGAAAGCCAAATGTATGATGATGATGATGAGAGCATGTAGGTGATTTCTGTAAATGCCCACAAGAACCACAAAGGCCCTCTCCTGTGGCTTAGTCTGTGCAGTAATATTTACTTTTGTTTTTGTCACAAATAATTTCTGTCCTGGTACAACTTTTTTTTGTCCAGCTTAATGGTGCTATTTGCTAT